TGCCCCGGCGGCGCTGCAGGTGCCGGGGCCAGGCGGCCGGCAGCGCAGCGCGGCACAGCTGCCTTAAGGCTTGGCTTCTGGCCGGTTTGAAACCTAGAAGGCCTTGCCTGGTGTTCCCCTTCTCTACGCGCAGTGCACGGGGTTGTACGCTGGCTCAGAGCTCCTCCTCTTGGCAGGCAGATGGTTAAATGCTCGATAGTTACGTGCTGGTGGATAAGGGGTGAGAAGGGAGGGGGTGGGATGCCTTCTATCGCTGTGCAAGCAACAGGTTGCTGTTTTCTTTCCAGGAGCAATGGCAGGTGAGGCGTGCAGCCGAGGAGGGCGTTCTGCTCTGCCGACAAGGGGGTCTGGCACGTGCTGAGCTGCTGGTGTCCTGCTCGGACCCTTCATCCTTCCCCACTCTTGGACCTGACATCCCAGTGCACGCATCCAGCACGATGCCCAGCAGTGATGCAGGTGCTGAGGTGGGTCTGTAAATCCCATCAGCAGAGCTGTTACCAGCCACAATTAGCACTGATCGCAGGGCCACGGGTGTGCATGTCTGAGCCAAGACAATTGATGACTCAGTCCTTTTGCTACTGAAGCAGTGTTTGTGCCTCTTTTTTTTTTTTTTTTTTTTTTTATAGTCACCTGAGTTTGTGGGCAAGAAATATGCAACATTGTGAACAATATCTAATAAATAATGAGGTCTTCCCAGGTGGATTTTAGGCCAAGTAAAATATGCAACTGGGCCAGATTACTTAAATTTTCCAGCTATAAACTGTACTAATTCACCAGCTGTATGCAGTAAAATACAAGTGAAGGGGTCTCCCTTGAGATCTGGTGTTTAAGGCTGTGGAAATAACGGCTCTCTTCAAAACATAACAGCCCTAAACAAAAGATAATGCAACTTAAGGATGCTGTGGAAGTGAAAAAGAGACGGGCAACAGGTGAGAGTTACTTAGACAATTTTATTTATATCCCCACTCCCCAGTAATGGGGTTCTGTAGCTCTATTCCTTGTGTAAGGAGTTCTCTTTCAGGTTTCCCACACCATGCAGGAAGGAATTATGGTTGTTCCATAATAATAAAATCTGTCCACAAAAGCTGTAAACATTCGTTTGAGTCTTTTGTTGTTGTCTCTTCCAAACACTCACACAATATTTGTATCAAAGAAATTCTAGGTGACCTTTAATGTCTAGTCCCTGACAGAATCTCACACTTTTTTTTTTTTCTTTCTCTTTTTTTAAGCAAAAATACCTTGATGTGAATGTTTTTTGTGACTGATATCTGACAGAGTCATCGCATTCCTGTACTTCCAGCCCCTACGGAGCCCCTTGCTTAGAAAGTTTCTGAAACAAGCCCTGTTACAATCCCGCAGGGATATTAAACCTTCACAAGGTCCAATTCTTGGTCTGAGGTCCCCCTGCTTTTACACCCGAAGCAGCGCAGAACTGCCACAGCATCTCGTGCATCTATGTTTCCACACCTGCGTTGTACGGAGAACACCCGGCTGCCTTGCAGCGCTGGGCACGTGGAGCATGAATGTCAGGGGGGGGCAGGTTTTCTCTCCTGCTTGTATCTTTGCGTTCAGCCCGTAGCGTTGAGCATGAGTTGAAAGTGATGCTGCAATCTGTTCAGCCCTGCCAGCTCATTTTAATAGTCTCACTCAAACGCACAATATCTCCTTAGCCCGCTTGGCTTCGTGAGTGTAGAGGTGAGCAGGTCCTCTTTTATCATTAAGACTCTTTCAAGTAATGCTTTCTTTTGGCTCTCAAATAAATCAAGGACAGCAGTAAAACAAGAAAGGAAAATAAATCTTCTGATGGATTGCAGACAGAACAGATTCTTTCAGCTCTTTGCTTTTTACGCTTGAGTTCGGTAATGGCACGTAGCGTGTTTTGCACTTTCCTAGCAAGCTGCCCATGCTCTCATTCCAAACCGTGCACGTGACACCCGGCAGCTGTGAGGGTCCCCTACGACTGACCCAAGGCGGTACTTTTCAGGGCTATCGGTCACTAGTAAATCCAGGCTATTTCACAGAACTTGTCATTTTCCTTCTGAGATATTCTGAAGGATTTTGATAAGGTTCTCCAGGCCAAAAATATAGCCGTGGTCCGGCCCGTCATAAGTGGTCTGATTGCATTTGGAGCCTTTGAAAGTGGTGTGGGCAAAGTCTATCATGCGGACGTCAGCTCTGGAGTGATTTGTGCCATGTGACGTGGTGCAGTTTGTTTTTTGGAAGTGAAGGTGATTATCCAAGGGTGCCGCGTTCTCCTTGGGCTCCTGTCCGTCATAAATGATGAGAAGGGAGCTGGAGTAGAACCTGTAAGAGCTTTGCTTCCTGATGACAGAAAGCAGAGCTTTCAGCCGCAGGATGATGGGCTCCAGGAGATCCGTTCGGAGGTGGTTACCGTTGCACAGGAACTGGCGCAAGGTTTGCCTGAATCCCTCTGGCGAGAGTTTCCTGCCGTAATATTTATCTTTGCAGAGAAAATGGCCGGTGTCCGCTTGGTAAACCTGAAGGGAAGAGAGCGACAATCCAGATGGGGTTACTCAGTTTTGCCAAAGCTCTAGATTTTTCCCTGATACAAAAGTTCAGACCCAAGCTGAAATGGGGCACGGGTCCTCTGCAGTCTAGCAATATCTAGCAACGCTGGCAGTGTACTGCAGGCTTCCCCCTGCATCCCAGCTCCTGTCTTTTCTGGCAATTGAAACTATCCAATTTAAACCACTAGTGCGGGTTCTTGTTGTACTGCTATAAATTACCCCTTTGTGAAACCCAAATAGCTGTAAGTCATAGCCGTGTCACTGGTGATTTAACAGCATTTTCCCTCGGGCTATGGTAGGAGTTTGCAGCAGCACAGGAGTGCCCCAGCTTTCTACCTTCTCACAATATGTAACGCACGGGTAGCAATAATCTTGCTTGCTTAAACACAGAGAGACAAGACGCAGTCAGGAATTTGTATGTGCGGCTCTGCTAACACTGAGCAAGAAATGAAGGAGTGAATTTAGAATTAGCTCGCACGCCAGTTGTAATTTAAAGGATAATCTGCTCAACAGAAGGATGTCAGAGACCAGAAAGGGACACAGGTTTTGACACTGAGTGGTTGCACGGCTATATACGTGCTTTATAATCATCATTGTCATAATTATCCTTCAGGCACAGCAGAACAACATTTGGAAACCTGCTTGAGAAGTGTGAGCGAAACAAATGCGTGGTTTCGGTTCGCAGGAGGAAGGGCAGCAATTTTGAGCAAGAGGAACCATAATATTTAGCACAAAATAAACCCCTCGCTCTTGCGGTGACAGGATGAGGCAGCTCTGTGAAGGCATGAGCGGGGCAAGGGATGCTGCTTTGGTTTTCTTTTTTGGCAGCAGCCAAGAGCTGAGGGTGAGAGGGGAATCTGTGTTCATCTACAGGCAGATTCCCAGCTGGAGCCAACTGGTTCCAGCTGCTCATACTGGTGGCAGTGGTGCAGGGTGGTGCTTATGCAGCCACCACTTGTGAAAGCAGCCAAATCTCCAGAAGTCCAAGAGGGGATATGGGCAAGGGTTACCCTACGTGTGCCATTTTCCAGACTCTTTCCTAAGCATCCTCTCCTCTTTGAGGATAGGACACACAGCCGGGTGGCCAGTTTTTACAGCCTGTGTTTGGAGGGAGACAGGAACAAAACTGCTTCAATTTTCACCAACAAGGGAACAAGTTCCTTCAGATTTCCAGCTTGGTTTCAAGCCATGTGGCGGGCAAACACCAGAAGGACTGCGGCTCCATCTTACCTGCATCCCGCAGATGCGAACGCCCAGGGACGCAGAGGTGCTTTGTTCACACTTCTTGATGTGCCGGGCCTTCTTCTCCTCCGAGGCATCATCGCCGTGCTGCCGCGTCCCCATCTTCAAGTCCAGGATGCAGGGATAGTTGTATTTGGACACCACATTTTCAAGCAGTAGAAACTCTGAACACGAGTTAAGGGAAACCCAATACTTTTAAATTCTAATTGAAAGAGGTCTTAAATCAAAGCAACGGCTGACGGTCTCCATAATAGCTCACAACCGTAATGAGACTTTCTGAGCCAATTTTACCAACGTGTCATTGCTATAGGCCCCTTGCTGCCAATTTCAGTTAATTTACTGTAGTACAGTCCTACCAATTAAAGCCCCAACAGCTCCATTCTCTAGTGACACGATAGCCCTGGGCTGTCCATCCAACACCTTCCCTCAGTGCTGTACGCACTCCAGTGGGTGTGGGAGAAGTTGTTAAACTGTATTGCTCACATGACTGCTGGGTAATGAAGTGTAATAGGAAAATAAAAGGCAAGGCAGCTGCTAATTCCTATATAGTTGTGTTTTTAAATGTATGCCAAGGGGATCCTTGACTCATGCTGAATACCCGTTATGGGAAGTAGGTTTTTTTCTTTTTCTTACCTTCTTTTTTTTTTTTTTCGAATAGAATATTTCAGTTGGGAGGGACCTGCAGTGATCATCTAGTCCAACTGAACAGCAAGAGAAGATAACAGAGCACTCTACTCTGTATATTCTGTATTTCCCAGGGTCTGGACAGAGGAGGCATGCACACCCCCTGCAATAAAACCTAGAATCATAGAATCGCTTTGGTTGGAAAAGACCTTTAAGATCATCAAGTCCAACTGTTCCCCTAACCCTGCCATCCCACCACTAAACCCTGGCCCTAAGCACCTCGTCTGCCTGGCTGTTAAATCCCCCCAGGGATGGGGACTTGACCCCTTCCCTGGGCAGCCCATTCCAGAGCCTGACAGCCCTTTCTGTGAAGAAATTTTTCCCAACGTCCAACCTCACCCTGCCCTGGCACAACTTCAGACCATTTCCCCTCATCCCATCGTCCGTTCCCTGGGAGCAGAGCCCAACCCCCCCGGCTCCCCCCTCCTCTCAAGCAGTTTTAGGGGGCGATAAGGGCTCCCCTCAGCCTCCTCTGCTCCAGGCTGAACCCCCCCAGCTCCCCCAGCCGCTCCTCATAAGCCTTGTGCTCCAGCCCCCTCCCCAGCTCTGTGTCTCTCCTCTGGACACGCTCCAGCAATGCAACGTCTTTCTTGTAGTGAGGGGCCCAAAACTGAACACAGTGTTCAAGGTGCGGCCTCACCAGCACCGAGTACAGGGGCATGATCACTGCTCCTGCTGGCCACACCATCCCTGATACAAGCCAGGATGCCATTGGCCTTCTTGGCCACCTGGGCATATAAACCTATATGGATTATGAACTGTTATTTGTAGCCCAGACTACACTGGAGGGGAGACGAAAAAGGATACGATGAAGTTTGTTCTCGTTATGCTTGGAGGACATGCGGTTCAGGTGCTGCCTGTGACAGTGCAGTCCCCAGGGGTTGTAGCTGTTTCTCTCTGGCTGGTTTCGGTTTGCATCTTCCAGAAGCGAATCTGTGCGGTACTGAAGGTCTGTCCTCAAGAGCATCTTCCCTGGGCAGCTAGACAAAATACACAAAAGAACATGGGTGGTTTATAAGCTCCAGAAGAGAATCTTCCCTCCCCTCCTCTTTTGTAGAGCCTCAAACTTGATAAGGTAAATTTTCAGGGACTCTCAAAAGAAACATATTCATCAGGCCCAGCCTGCGGAGATCCTTTGTTACTCTGTAAAAGTAATTTTCCCAAAGCCAGCTATTGCTGGGTGCCAATATTTTCTTTCATTATAATTTCAAAGTGTGCTTGGCTCCCATGAAAAGCACCATTCATAGCGCCAATGACCAGGAATCCCTATTTATCCACCTAATGGGCACAACACAGGCAAATTGTCCAAAGGTAGGAATGAGTCTCAATTTAGAGGGGCTGGCTGCAAGGAGGGGAGGGAGGGAGCCATGAGGAGATTTGTTCTCCTTGGAGGGTCATTCCTCGGTCTCGCTCATCCAGACCCCACAACTCCCATCACGCCAAGGGCAGCGGTTTCACAGTAGCAATATTGCACCCTTCAGTCCTAGCTGACCTAGGTCTTTTCTGGACCAGCTTGAGATGAAAGATGTCTTGTGGAAAGCTTCTGCGAGCCCTAAGGTCACCGTGTGCTTGCAAACACTGCAATGCCTTTCAGAGACAGCTTTCCCCTGGGGGGAGGACAGGATCAAACCACCCCAAGGCTACTACTTCTGGCTGGTGACCAGCAGAAAGCCGGTACGTGCTGTGTGCTTGGTGGCTGTTCTCATGGGGCCTCTCCTCCTTTTGGAGCATGCTGTGCTCCAAGGAAACAGATTTAAAGCAGAGTTTGAAGCATGTATTTGAGCAACGGCATCTCAGCGGTAGCCAAATCTGCCCCACTCCATCCAGAAGCCAGGGAAGAGATGATGAACCATGAAGCCATCAAACTGGGCTTTGTTTTTCTTCATCTTGCCTGGGCGTTGCTTTTGCTCACTTTGCCTTAGAAAAGGAGTTGTGCCACCAAACCCATCCCGCTTAGACCCTACCCAAAGTGGCAGGGGAGGGCCGGGGGGACGCTTGCAGGGAGCAGCAGACCCTCACCTGTCTTTGAAGCTCTTGGTGAGCTGCGTGTGGCTCCACTTGACGAGTGTGTGCTCGCTGCCACTGCTGCTGCTGGCAGCCCACTTGCATTTGTGCCATATCGTCACCGAGGAGTCGCCGATGGCGTTATCCAGCCGGCCACGGCTCTCCGTCTGCAGGCTGGGGCTGGCGATCAGGGTCAGGTTGCCGAGGCTGTCCTTTTTGAGGTGCACAGAAACGATGCCTGGACAAAAAGGGGGAAAACCAAACCAAAAAGAGATCAACCCATGGGTTACCAATACAGGCTTGGTCACCATCTGCGCCTCCCTAAGCGCGCTGGTGCTTAGCAGGACAGCTGCCTCCTTGTCTTTTAGTTTTGATCCCACTCTGATTTGAGGCCCAATAAACACCATTAGTCTGAGACCCTGGAAAACAGGCACAGGCTTTTCTAATGATCTCAAGGCTCGGCTTGAAACCTGCCTCCTCTGAACATCACGTTCCTTGGTCCTCCATCCCAGCAAGTGACCCAGCAAAGACCCCTGCGTTGGACCCAGAGCTCCTGGCTTATTTATGACAAGGGATTTAGGTCTCACTTTTTAAGACAACAGCAAGGTTGAAAATGCTTTTCATTGGCAGGAAGCAAAGGGAGGGTTGGGGACCAGGAATTTTCCAAAGACAACCAGCGTGCCAACTGCTTCCTTTAATTGGAGACCCCCCCAGGAGCAAGGGCAGAGGCGGGTGCATGGGCTGGCAGCGCTGCCTGCGTACGTGATGCCTGTACACTGTCGTGGTCGTGTCCTTCCTCGAGCACCAAGGACCAGCACCCAAGTGGCCGACGGGGGGGGGGACCGGACCCTCACATGTGCAGTGTTCATGCACGAGGAGCAGCGTGACCGTGAAGGGGGATTAGTTCTCTCCACCATGAGTGCTTTTGCACTTTGTGTATTTTAGCATTGCAATTTTCCCTGACTCTAATGGGAATCACAGGGCTCAAATGCCATTCAGCCCATCACATATTTAGCCCAGTCTCGGCCCATCCCTGGCATGGGGACGGCTGCCTCCACATCTCAAATGACAGCGCAGGAATGGCCATGGTTTGCGTACCAGACAGCTCTGACCTTTCTGGGAAAGGCTGATAATGGCAGCCCCGCTCCTGCAGCCCTCCGTCGAGCAGAGGCATTTTTAGAGCATCGCCCTTTGGGTCTCAGAGGGGATGCCAGCCGCATGAGTCGGACCCGGCTGCTTTCAAGGCTAGCTACAGCAGGGCAGATCCAAAAGAGGACGGTCAAGGCTGTTGGACCAGCAAAACTCATCACTGGAAAGATATCCCCTCCCGTTAGCAAGACGTGAAGCTGGGTTTTAGCCAACTGTCCCCAGGGTACCCTCACTTGGTCTGTTGGGCACTGCGGGGAGATGCATTTCGGCAGCATAACGAACAAGGGAGCTCTCTTCTCCCAAGCAAATTTGCCAAAGCAAATAAATATGCAAACTCCCCGCTCTCCATTTAAAGTGAGATTGTAGTAAGCAAACACAGACAGAAGGATTTGCCTTCTTGCGGCGTGCGAAGCGTCCCGCCTGCTGAGTTTTGCTGACTGGGGGAGGTTTTTGCCACCTGAATTGCAGGAGCCCTGGTGCATCTGCAGCCACTGGCCACCTCCGCCAGCCTCGGGGTGCCCATCCCTCCCTGGGTCCTGCACCCCATAACCCCACAGCTCCAGTGTATTTCCCCCCTGCCCTCCGTACAGCCCCTCTTGCTCAGGCACCATAACCATTTCTGTTCCCTTTTGCTGCAGAATCAGCATTAATCCGGACAGCATGCCATGGCAGGCTTGGGTAAAGCAGCTGATTTTGCACTGAACTGGGGGAGGAAGACACACAGGCTGCTTTGCTGAGGGAGCTGGGGGGCTGGAAACCTTAATTAGGGGGTAAGTAATATTTTTCGCTATCTTAGTCCTTTGCTCATGGCTGCAGTGAGTGCAGGGAGCTCTGCCTTCCTCAGGCTCCCACGTTACCCACCTCACCTTTCCCTGAGTCCCATTCCTAAAAAATCCCTATTCCAGATAACTGAGAGCAAGCAAAATTCCTACCAGCTCAGACGCCTGCTTTGAATTTTCAGGAGAAGTAGGGAGGAAAAAAAGCAACGTATCTTTGGCCTAAACCAAAGCCTTTTTATTTTTAAAAAGTCACGGCGAGGCGAACGGAGTCCTTGATTCCAAATCTGGCTCTTACGCCTCAGTTATGGCACTGTAGCAGCCTGTAACCTTAAAAACCTGCCCCAATTTCCTATCTGCAAGTCAATGGAGCTGTGCTGATTTACATAGTGCTGACAATCTGGCCCTAAAAACGTTATATATAGCGTGAAACTAAGAGTTCTTAAGTATCTTACATTAATATGAAAATTAATGGGGAGATTTTCAAAGGCAAGAATGAGCCGTTAAATTGCAAGGGAATGTGATCCTCTCACTCCTTCCAGCTGCAAACTCCAGTTCGTAAACCTATGTCTCAGCCTGAAAAATACTTTTGGGCTTCTATCCGGGTTTTTGCATATGTCCTGCAAGCCACCTACGTGTGCAAACCGCATCTATAACACGTGGCTACCAACATTCTCTTTTATTGCAGCCAGGAAAAAATCTATCTGGGAGCAAAGGTGTATTTAGGTACAAATGTCTTTGCTGGCATTTCAGTGTCACCAAACCACAATCCCCCTGTGTCCCAAGGCGGCGAGGCAGCCAGCAGGTATTTACGGGTGCTGTCACCATGCTCATGGCATCCCAGCAAGCCTCAGGAGCGTTTTGCTATGCAGCTCTGCCCTCGTGGATTTATTTTTAAATTTACAAGTGCATTTATTTACTGCCGCGTGCAATAGGAACCTGAGTAGAACTGGGCTTGAAAACAAGTCCAGCATCCCCCTGCAAGCTCAGCGTGGGGCAGGCAGAGGTTTGCAAGGGGTTGGAGGGGGGGAAAAACCAGTCCTGAGGTCTCCAACCTGCCTGAAATGGTTACGTGAGCAGTAGACATTTTTTTAAGCAGCCGGCTCGGTGTTTGATTTGATTGCTGACATTTGATCAACATTGCACATAATGTCATCATTACGTAATGGTCCATGAGCCGTTCCCCCCCCCCACGGCCCAAGAATAGAGATGAGGAACACGGACACGTGCCAACCGATGATGACGACCCCAGGATTATTCCCCCTGATGGCCATCGCCGCCCCCCCCCCGCCAACACCCTAATGGGAAAATGTTCCACCTCTTTCATTTGCCTGGCGTTCAGGGCTGGGACAGTTAGAAGCAGAATAAAAAAAAACGCATGTGCCCAATGCCAAATTGGAGAAGAATCGTTATTTAATTAACCCTCATCACAAAACTCACTGGGACTTGCGACAGAAGAGAAAAAGCAGACAAAAAGTTATTAATAACCGACCCAACTGATAAGCTGGGACTGCTTAACATCTTTATTAGAGAGACAGAGCAGGGCCCAGCTCTCCAGCACCAAACCCTGGCCCCTGCTAAAGGAAATTGCTCAGAGGAAGATGTGTTTTCTTTCTTAAGCATCTTTTTAATATTGTCCCATAAATCTACAGAGGCTCCTGACTTTCTGGGAAAGGGAGAGATTGGATTGGAAGCGCATCGAAAGCGCGGCCGACGCTTGGAGCTCCTTGCTGTAACGCTGAAGGACCAAAAGATATTTTAAGTTTTTACGTGACAGCTGAGCTTCTCGCCTCTCACAAAAAGCCAGGGTCGGGAGCTTTATGAGCAGCACAAGTCTGGCAGTAAAAGCAGAAATAGTGAGGGAATAAGAAAGGGAGGGAGGGAGGATGGCTTTAATAAACTGCTAGGACCCCCCCCGCCCAGACACCAAGAGCTGGTTTTCAGTAGCTAAGCTGAGAAATTCAGCTGGGAAAGTGGTTCAGGGCAGGGAGAGTTAGGGCCAGGGAAGCTGAAGGGGGGGACCGAGCAGTGACGGGGGGCACCGAGTGGAGGGGCAGGCGGGAGGCTCTTCCCTCTCTCGGGAAGGTCTCGTTTGTGGCAGGATTTTATTTTTAAGAAGTTAAGTGGTCTGTGCCTCTGCTCCTCCAGGGACCAGCGCTTATGGGAGTTCTAGGGGGAGCAGGGCTTGGCGAAGGTGGAACACCCAGCGAAAGTGATGCTTGATACAGCCCTGGGCTGTTCTTTCAGGCTCGGTATTTGGTGCTGGCCCCAAGGACCATCTCTCCCCCAGCTCGTGCTAGTGCCAACCTTTCCTTGCCCTCAGGGACTCCTCTGCCTCTGACACAAACCTTCACCTCCTGGAAAACCAAGTCCTGGAGCAATGGGGCCACGCACGTGGGGCAAAGTCAGCCTGAGCTCTGCTCCTGGTACACAAACCCTTCGTGACCAGGAGTTGCTAACTCAAAGCTCTACTGAACAGAGCACATAACGTGTCAGATCCTGGGGCTCTTGGTCTGGATGTGGCTCTCCTAGTCCCTGCTTTCCTGCACCTACTCAGGGCCGCCATTCACTTGTCACCAGACCAATTTGTCTGGGGCCATGTCCTGCAAACATCCTATTCCTGCCCCTTGTTCTGTGTTTTTTCTTACCCTCCCTGTCCCACTCCTGCGCTGCCCAGGCTTTTGGCTCCTTGGAAGGGAATCGCCTTCATGCTCAGCTTCCACCTTCTCATTCCTGTTGCCCTCAAGAACAGACCCATTTCAGCCCTATTTGCCATAGTGAGCGTCCCCTGTGTTGCCAAGGCCAACCACAGCAGCAAGGGGATGGGCAGAGGGGAGGATCTCCTGGTGCCATCAGCCTGTGCTCAACCCTCGTTAGACATCAGAGACTCCCCCCAGCCACAGAGACCCAGGAACACTCTCAGTCTCAGACCTGCTCCTGTGCAGGCTCTCACCCGGGATGGATCCTGGCTCAACAAAACCTGCACGAGTGACAGGGCTCCACAACTCAGACCCAGCCTGACCGAGCCAGCCAGGTACCTCCCAGTCCCTTATCCCAGTCTCAGGACTAATTCCGGTGACAACACCCCCAGCCCTTAGCTCCTTCCCCAGCATCTCCCCTTACCTTTGTACTGGGGCGTGAACTGCTTCATGGCCAAGGGCAGCGACTCGTAGAAGCTCAGCTCCTGCGAGACCAAGGGCTTGCAGACCGTGTGCTCATCGTACTTCATCATGCTCATGTGGCCGCCCACCTGATGGACGAAGGGCTCCAGGAGGACGGCGGTCCGGCTCTCGCTGGGGTCCAGGGGGCTCTGCCCCACCATGGTGCTGGGCGAAAGGCAGAGGGGGGGTCTCTCCCCTTTAGCAGCAGCGAAGGAGGATCGGAAGCGGGGTTTGGGACATGCTGCTCCGGGCCAGTGCCAGTTAACACCCACGCTGGGCTTTCACCGGTGGTGTCTGCAAAACAGAGGGGATGGGGGAGCGTGAGAAAGGGGGACGAGCCACCACAAAGCCACCATCTGCGCTGGCATCCCAGCAGGGCTGGGAGCTCAGCCTGGCCCCCCGTGCCCCAGCCTGTGCCCCAGCGAGGGCCGGGCATCGAGGGCGCAGCCGGGTGGGACAAGATCTTTTGTTGCCCCGGGGCTGGCAGGGAGCCCCAGCCTGAAGTGCAGAGTCCAGAAAAGACCCAATTTAGCCCTGTTGGGGGCAAAAGAAACAGAGGGGAATGATCGAGAAGAGCTATCAAGTTAATGCAGTGGCCTCGTCAAACCAGCTGGATCAGGGCATTCCTTGGGCCGGTAATGCCAGGTTATTAATATGCTGTATTAATGACACCCCTCGCTGTGAAACAGCCCCACTTTGCCTTTTGAGACAGTGTTAATGATGGTCTTAGTCTTTCCAAGCTAGGACATTCCTTGCAAAGGAGGTTTATTAATAAAACCTCTGGAAGCTTGCCTCCCCGCGCAGTCCCTTGCCTCTGAACACTGCTGGTGGGGCTATCGACATCTTCTGCACCTTCTAAAGAAACCTCCGTTTGGGCCATTCCCTGTCATTTAACACCAGAGCATTAGCAGGAGCGTTTCCTCCACCCTGCTAACACATGGCACGGGGACGTGTCAAACCAGCACCGAGACGATTTGCACCCAAGCGCCAGCTCCCCCGAGCTCTCCAGCCCTGCCCTCTGCTACAGCCAAGGGAGCATCCAGCAACAGATCCGCTCCTGATTCCAGCCCCCGAAAGAAAATCCTCCTTGATTTTGACACCAAGTCCTGGCTCTCAAACAGAACAGCAGGGAAAGCACAGACGTGGACTGCATCCATGCTGTGCTGCCTTGGTTTCTCTTGCAAGCACCCAGCAATACCCACACCTTCACTTTATTCCTTGCAAGAAGCCCAGGGATGGCCCTTGCTCTGGTGGACATCGGGCAGGGGAATCCCATAGCCACTGGGGAAGACAAAAAGGCAGCTGAGCTAATATTTATACTGGAGAAGCTGTCTGGCTTCATACCACCAAGGTGGTAAACTCAGAGGAAGACACTCCAGACCCCAAAATAAAAGGGATGGGGGGGAAAAAATACAGTCATTCTTTTGAGGATTGGTGCAGCCCTCAGAGAGGGGTGTGCAGGGCCCTGGTTTGCCTGCCCCTGTTAGCATGGGTGGCTTTGTCCTTCTTCCTCCAACTTCAGTCAAGCTTGGGCAGTTCCGCATCCAACTTTTCCCCAGTGCAGTAGATAACAACGTCTTTGGAAGACCCTTCTCCCTGTCAAACCTCCAGGATGTGTTGCTGGCTGTGACTGACACCACCCCTGCCCTCCCCAAGCCTCGCTGGGAGTGGGGCAGCACCATCACCCCCTCCCTGACCAGGCGGCACCCACCAGCAGAGGGGTGGTGGCATCCACCAGCAGAAGGGTGGTGGCACCCACCAGCAGAAGGGTGGTGGCACCTCCCCACTCACACCAGGAATAAACCCGGAGTTCCCCATTGCCGGCAGCCGGCTGCTCCCGGGGCTCTGCGGGGACTCAGCCTCTCCCCCCAGTGCCAGCACTTACAGCCCGGCCCGGGAGCTTTAAGCACCGAACCTCAGCGTATTCCTCACCCCGCAGCAAAGAACCAATGCTCTGCTGCTTAAATTTCCCCTTCATGCTGCTCCTGCTGCTACTCAACCAGCGCTCGGCACAGGTGCCCGTTTTGGTTTGTTTGCCTTGGAGGAGGAGGATGAAGTGGGTTGAAGGCAGAGAAGGGGGCGAAGGAACACTCCCACCTCCAAAACGCGTGGAGCAGCTCCTTTATCTTCCCCCAAGGTGGTTTTTTTTTTTTTTTTTACTCCCCCCATTCTCTATTCTTTCGTCACCGCACGCTTTGGAGAGGAATTTCTACTCTGCAATTACCAGCCTGCACCAGCGCGGAGGGAACAAAGCCAGGCCACTTCCATGAGTGCTTTTCAGCCAGGGAAGAAAGCAGTTCCTCAGCGCCTTTCGAGAAGTTAATAAAAGCATTTAGCATTTCGTTAAGTTGCGGCAACTTTTAAAGAGGATTTCTCCCTTGAAAGCTCTAGGTTTGTTGTATTTGGGTGGTTTGGTTTTTTTTTTTCCTCCCTCCTTAAAAAAAAAAAAAAAAAAAAAAGAGAAAAGCAAAAAGCAAGCGGATTTGTCATAAGAGCCCTACGGAACAGAGAGCGCAACATGACTTCAATCCCGTATTTATTGCTTCGGAGACAGTCCAAGGCTGCAACCCGGCTGACAGAACGCACAGCTCTGGCAACCTTGGCTTTGTGAAGAGTTGGGGAGGAAAAAAAAAACAAACCCCAAAGCCCACAATTTGCTAAGGCTCTTATTGTTTTCTCTTAAGCAAAACTCGGAGCGAGATTTGCAGCAAGAGAAAGGGGCTCTTTTCATTTAGGTTTTGTTCTGAACAGCTCAACCATTCGGAGCAGATAAATGTTACCGCAAACACTTACTGAGCTGCTCTGAGCTCCTCTGAAACAAGACACTCTTGAAATAAATCACTTCTGCCGGCTCAAGTTATTGCAAATGCCAAAAGATATTTACGTTGCTAAAAATACATGGAATTACGTATAAATCTGTATCCTCAAAAACAAAACCAGAAACCTTGAATATTTTTCCTCTAGCTAAAATGAAAAAAAAAAAAAAAAAAAAAAAAGGTGGCATCCCAGGCACTGCAGATGAAGATGAGTCAGAAAATATTGGGGAAGGAAAATGCTTCTCTGTATGGAGAAGTCCCCTTGCCAGAATTAAAAAAAAAAAAAGACTTTAAAGCATCTGGAAACATGAATCTCCCTGGCTCTTCTCCCCGGTGACTGCCGGGACGCCCCAGCTTCCCTTCCAGCAGCAGCAGCACTGGCTTGAGATGGATTTGCATTTCTAACGCTCGCCTGTGTGTAACGAGGACCTGCCAGGCTGATGGGCACCGGCCAGACCACAGCTCCGCCGGGAGCACAGGCCAGGGCTTTTGGGGGCACCGATTGCTGGGTACCATTACCCCCCACCCTGCTCTCGTTCAGGGCTAAATGTCAAGAGTCTGAGCTAAATCATAGAATTGTTTGGATTGGAAAAGCCCTTTAAGCTCCCCCAGCCCAACCATTCCCCTACCCCTGCCATCCCACCCCCAAACCCTGGCCCCAAGCACCTCGTCTGCCCGGCTGTTAAATCCCCC